AGTGCAAAGAGGTAGACCTTGTCACCTTCTTGTACATGACCAGTGGACAGAAGTTCGTCAACGCACTCGGTCACTGACATTACACCTATCTGATACGATCTCGCGATGGAAGCGAGATCCTCACCAACACTAATCAATTGCTCAAGGGACGCTGAAACCTCTCGGGCACCGTACATTTTCTTCTCACCTCTCTGTTTCCTGTTTTTGAATTTCCTTTTATCCCCACTACGGTGCCCGGATATATTCATGGATGAGCCCGCTCTACCTTCTATTGGACTGCCACTGGAATCGGTTGCCTCCGCGTTGATGGGCATCATATCGCCTCCATCTCTGTCGCTATCTGTGCTAAAGTCAAATTCCCGATGCGACAACTTCGTTGGGGAAACAGCATATTTCATCGAGTCACAGGTGTCGCCGAAAAATTTCCCATATGTATCGCATATCTCACTACAGTCAAAGTTTCTATACTTTACGTATTTTGGGTTTTCCTGCACAAACAAGATTGGTAATCAATCATGCTAAACGACAGCTTATCAAATCCACAAGTATACACTTTCTATGAACAAATAGTGTGTCCAACTTAAAATTAATAAACAACACCACAACTGGCCAACATCCTGCCAACGAAATCCACAAAAGAACTTCAAGGAAACATGATCAGTTGTTATGCAATAAAGTTTATTGCAGGCAGATTAATGTCTTGCAAGATCAGTTCACTCATTTAAAGGGCCAAGTTATTTTAATTTAGCACGTAGTCCTTAAGTGTGTCAACGATCACTCGAAATTCTCTATTACTCAAATCTCATTTAATTGAAGTGGATGAAATCTCTTACAGGATAATGTCAACTGCCTGATGTGGAACTGAAGCCATGATGCATGGTTCAACTTATAGTAAACAATTATATTTATATCATCCAGCTAGGAAGCAGATGCACGCTCATTTTTAACATGTATGATCTACCTAGTCAACTTTTTGCTATTGACTAGCTAGGAATTAGATAGTAAAAGTTAACTGCTGGCTATTGTATAAAAAAAACTCCACGAACTCCAACCGTAGGATAATCATGTAGACAACTTTTGAATAATCATGTAGGGGACTTTTGGATGTTTATTTTATGATGAGTTGATAAAAGGATTGAGCATATCTGGAATCCTCAGTATCATATATTTTTACGAGGATAGAGTTGTGGTTTCTCAACAAATAATCCTATTAAATTTTGGTATAAGTTCCACAATCACAACACTCAATTCAAACATACTCTGTTACTGAGATGCCATTAAAAAGAACCCAGATGGATCAATAGAACACTGATTGAAACTTAGCAACAAAATAACACCATATGTAAAACTATCACGGCTTCTTTACATGCCATTTTTTAATTTCGTTTGTCCCAATTGGAAAATGAATCGGTGTTAAGATAGTAGTGAAACACACTAGGTAAACATGTATTTGCAAACATACCTTAATTTTTGCTTCCCACCAATGATCCGGAGCGTTAATTCTTCCTGTACCCGATCGATACTCAATGCCGGTGCATCGCAGTAACTCGAATAGTTGTTTGTGATCTGTTTGCAATTTATTCCAGTAATTCTTCATCTGGGCTGTAGTCCAACTCTTTCCCGTTGTGGTATTGAACATTTCAGAAATACGAGACCAGCCTTTCGAGGAAAAGCATTTACCTCGACGATGGCCTTCGGCGATGACAAGTTCGCAGGTCTCGATGAACACTTTTGTTAGCCCAAGAATAACTAACCAAGAGGGGGTGAATTGGTTATTGAAACTTTTTCGTTAATTACTCAAGATTCTAATATAGAGAATGCGCAAATATTATAAACACAAGTAAATGCGTAAATAGAACAATATAAATTAGTGCGAAGTAAATGCGTTAAGTAAAAGAGATAGAGAATGCAAACGATATGTTATGGAGGTTCGATCCAATCCAATGATCTACGTCCCCCGTTACCAAGCTCTCCGTCACGAGCAAGGCCAAATGCACTATAATGGTAACTTACAACAAGGAGTATCTATCCTTAAGTGACTTACAATAAGGAGCACTTATCCTTAGGTGACTTACAACAAGGAGCACCTATCCTTACAATCGAGTTTTCACAAGGCTCTCGAAACCGTCAAGAAATAAGTGATAATTTTACAATGAAGAAACTCTCTTAACAAATGATATAATCAAGTTAAGTATTAGAGAGTTAGGTAAACACTTCAATAGATAGCAAATAGTGAAGCTCAAATGTTGATGTTGTAAACTTTGATGAATGATGAATAATGAAATAGTTTGTATCTTTGTATCAAAGTTTTTCAACCAATGATCTCTCTTAACAAATAATACAAGTTAAGTATGAAGAGAGATTTACACTTTAATAAAAGTGTTGGCAAAGAAAACATTTATCAAGATTTAAGAATAGATGAGATTGAGAAAGTTTCTTTGCAAAAAGAATTCTTGATGAAATAGATGAAACTAGTTTTGATCAATCAAGAAATTCTTTGTATCAAAGTTTTCAAGCCAATGATCTCTCTTAACAAATAATACAATTTAAGTATGAAGAGAGATTTACACTTTAAATTAAAGTGTTGGCAAAGAAAACTTTTATAAAAAATGAAGAATACTTGAAGTTTGTGAAGAGTTCTTTGTAAAAAAGATTTCTTGATAAAATGAATGAATTATGTTGAATCAATCAAGAAACTCTTTTGTAATAAATGAAATAGAATTTATACTTAAGTAAACTCAATGATTTCTCAATAAAAAAGCTCTCAAAAATCTCTTCTAAGTTGGTGAAAATGAATGGAGAAGAGAGGGGCATTTATAGAGCAAAAAAAGGGTTGCTCTCGGGTAAGTTCGGTTGACCAATTTGAAATTATAGCCGTTACTTTTGGTCGATCGAAGTCATCCGACAGGCCAGACAGCTTTCAGTATTTTGATCATATTTTTTTCTCCCGATATCCGATTAAGGTGATTCAAAATGGGTTAGAAGGCTGACTCAAGGGGCTACAACTTTTCTTCAGAATCATCTTCAAATTAGATCATTTTTTATGTCAAAAATCTGTCCCAATATGAGATTGAAGTCAACCGACAGGCCGCACAGCTTTAAGTATTTTGATCATATCTTTTTCTCTCGATATCCAATTAAGGTGATTCAAACTGGGTTAGAAAGCTGACTCACTTTGATTCAGAAATCATCTTCAAGTTAGATCATTGTCTATGTCAAAAATCTATCCCAATTATGAGATTGAAAATCGGAGTATAACGTTTTGATTGAAAGTTGAAGTGTGTTCGTTTGAGGGACGTTTGAAAATGATTTTTCAAGATTTTTGATATATTACAAATGTTCAAAATCATTTTCATGTCAAATCAATTTATGTAAGTGATAAATTTATGAGAAATACTTGAGCTTTATGCACTTACTAAACATTGATGAGTTATACCTTTACATATAAAAATAAGGTTCGATAAATAACTGCATCTTCAAAGTTCTTGATCTCTTTGAGCATCTCTTTGATTTGTATCTTGATTTGCAATTTTGTTAAGTTCCAATTTGATTATCGCATGCAAATCACTATTGTCTCGAGTGATTTGTCTTGAATGATCGTTTAAACTTCACTTGTACTTCATTTGAGTGTGAATAATTATCTTTATAACTTTGAAGAGTTAAACACTCAATTCAATTTGTTAGTAAACAATATGGACTTGTTTGTTATAATCAAAATATTAAGGTCATGATCAACCATAGGTCAACAACTTTGTGCTCTGTTGGATTCCATTTCGCCCACTTGTGTACAATCGGCCGAGGCTCGTGAGGGTTGGACGCGGTATGATTCAATGGGTCATGAGATTCAACTGGGTACTGCTGTAAGGGGAAGAATGAGATTTAGAGTTACGCAAATAAGCAAAACGGGGATTTCGACCATTATTTCTGGAACGAAAATATGCACACATTCATTCACGGAGAAGATGCAAACAGGGAAGAGCTTACTGTGTCATCAGGGTAAAAGTTCCACGGGGACTCATCGTTCTCCATAGACGGCAAATCTAATTTGAAGAATCATGTGGTCGTTGGGTGGGCAGAGCTTTAGTTGGGGCTTCAAAATACCGCGATTGATTTGCAGGTTCTAGAGCAAGATTGGCACTGGTCGGCGGTTGGAAAGTATTCACTGTAATTTTGAGATTTTTTCCACCGATGATGTTGCTTCTAATTTCCCAGCAGGTGCGAATTGGTAGGTTTGAGGTGTCCTTTTCCTTCTGAGGGGGTTGTTGGGTAGAATTGCAAATTGATGGGAGGGCAAAAATGGAAATTGAATTCAACAGTCGAATGGGTGTAATCTGCCATCTGACACAAGCATTTGTTTCTTTTCAGAAATTTACTGTAGAAAAATGAATTCTTACCCAAAGAATGAGATTCAAACGGGCGCTATATATTTTTTAAAAAATAGAAAATGTGTACATATATATTTTTTGAATTTAAAGTTTAGTTAATTAGTTATAGTAGTGTTAAAAAAAAGTCGAGCCGAGCGGCTCATTTTGGACGAGCTCGAGCACGAGCCGAGTTCGCCCAAAAACCAACGAGCTGAGCTTAAGCAAGACTCGTTGGCAACGAGCCACGAGCTCGACTCGTGCGGGTATGGGCCGAGTCGAGCAGCACGAGCCGAGCTCGTGCCCGGCCCATTGACACCTTGACACCTCTATTTCAAAGGTTGAGGTATCCTAATTTACCTAAAATACCATTCATACAGGGTCGTTTCGAAATTTTAACATCCTCTTAAATTTTGAATTACTTTACCTATCCAAAAAGTAGTAGGATATTAATATCCCCCTTCGTATTTCCACATATTTGACTGCGCTAATTATCATTCTACCTTTTTTTAGCTGGATAAACTACTGTTTTCTCCGATCTTTCCTTAAAAAATCTCAAATAAACTCACGTGAATCTGTGTTTAGGTCAATACTATCCAGTTATAATACTCAGATTTTGATTTACTTCGCTCCGCCGCCATGGATACTGGTGGAGGTGACGTGCCGCCGAAGAAAGACGGCGAGTTTCTTCTCCAGCTCCTCAAGAAACCACCGCAACTACACCCTACGCAAATCCGACCAAACCCGCATCCCCAAACCATACCCGATGATCCGGCGGTGGTGGCTGTGGGGCATACTGTTCCACCTTACTTGCAGCCACAGCCAGTGTTCTCATCGGACGGTCGCGATTCTTCTTACAGCCAATGGTCGAATTCGTCTTCCCGCCCACTTTTTGCGCCTCACACTTTCTTCCTGCAAAACCCTAATTCCAACTTGAACCCTAATTTTCACGCGCCACCTGGGGGTTTCAGTCACCCCTCTAATCAGTATAATCATCAGTTTCAACAAACCTCGTTGGGCGATGACATAAGGAAATTAGGGTTTTTTGGTGATAATTTAAAGCCGGCACTAGCTCATCGGCAAGAACCGAATATAATCTTTGGGTCTTTAAACAGAAATATTGTGGATAATGATGCTGCATTGAATGGGACTGCTTCGGAAGAGTCTTCAAGTGAAAGGGGTAAATGTGGAAACTCATATTTGGAGGATGATCTAGGGAGTAAGAGAAGGTTGAATGGTTTTCGCGTTGATAATCAGAATTCAATGGAGATTAATCATAATTTGCAAGGAAATTTGACTATCTTGAAGGGTTATGGGCAAGAAAGGAGTAATAATATTAATAGAAGGGGAAATCAAGGACATCATGAGAATTATAAGATTGTGGTTCCACCACCCGGTTTTTCAAGCAATGATAATGTGGGAAATAGGGAGTACGGGTCTAGAGAGAGGACCTTCGAACATAGTCTCGACAAAGGTAAGGGTAGTTTGAGCCATAGAACTGTTGATATCCATAGAGTTAAACAAGAACGGATGTTATCGGATCAGAATATGGGATATGGTGCTCGTATTTTGGATGTGAAGGGATCAAATAACAGGCTTGATTTCCCCCTTCCACCATCTGGCAGCAATCTTCATTTGATTTCGGCCTCTAATACTGAGGATTCTGAGCGGAAGTTTCATGTCGAGGATAGTGATAATGGGGAAGAATTGGGGAATGGTGCCCGTGGGCAGAATGAGTTTGATGATTTGGAGGAACGGCTTGTGAATTCTCTAGGACTTGAAGACGAATCTCAGGAGAAAAGTGATAAAAAGAAACATCATCGGGACAAGGTAATTTCTTTTACTTCCATGTCTTGTCCATTTGTTATGCTAGATTTAGAAAAAGTGATCATCTCTCATTTTGCTGTCAATTTTGTTTCTTTTGATAGGAATTGTTGTTTCCTTTTATGAACTTAACTGAACGGCGCTTGGGTAATAGCACATAAATGTGACCCCTAAGTTCATTGGGAATTCTTCAATTCAACTAGCCTACTGCCAATGATTGCGAATCTGGCATGAAGGAACATGTATAGACTTTGCTCATTGGACCACTGGCTTACAGTGGAAAAAATAAAAATAGAAAAAAGTTCGTGTGAGTTGTTGCGGAAATCCCTCGAGAAATCTTTAATTTCCGGCTCAGTTTAACACCAAACGAACACCAATGAAACCAAGCTCGACCCACAACAAAATGCACTCTGGTTGCCACGAAATTGGGCTAAAGGAAACAAATTGGGTGAAGTTTCATTAAATGGGCCAAAGACATATCACCACCAATCCAAAAATCACAACTTAGGCCATACACAAGTGTTTGGCCATGAGTAACATTAACTTAAGTGGAAATTACACTTGACCATTTATTTAATTTTAACTTTCTAAAAATCAGGTTTTCCCTTTATTTTTTCAATTTTCAGGTTTTATCATCTTAATTAATAATAATATTATAAAATTAAAATAACCTACCTACCCCACCCAAATTTATTTTAAATATAAAACCCTAATTCTATCAAAACCTAAACTAACCCTCTCCCCATTTCTCTCAACCCGCCGCCACTTCGTCCCCTCCCTCACCACCACCGGCCGCCACCTCCATTCCGGCCACCCAGCAGCAGCGCCGGCCGAAATCGCTGGGACTGCAACCCATCCCTGTTGCTGCGTTACGCAGCAGCTAGCCCATTGCTGTGCAGGCGTCGCTGCACAGAAACGTTGCAGCGAAGCTGCAGCCACGGGCAGCGCTGAAACGCTGCAGCCGGCCGAATTTGTGGTGGACGGGCGATTTGTGGTGGTTTTGGATTTGGGGTTTTACACTGATTGTAGATATGTGATTCAGTGGTTGGTGATTGTGAATCTATGGTTGGTGGTGGAGGTAGTTTTTGGGGTTTTTTTTGTTGATGGCGGATCTGTTGTTGGTGTCGGATCTCTGTGTGTGTCGGATCTGTTGGTGGTGGTTTGGGCTGATATTGTNTGATCTGTGTGGTGGTGGTAGACAATTTGATTTTTTTCGATCTGTGACCTGTGTGGGTGTCCGTGACCTAGAAATTGGAAATGTGACTCGCTGAAATTGAGCTGTGACTCGTATAAGTTTTGAATTTTTTTTAATCTGTGACCTATAAAAAATGACATGTGACCTGTGACGTTGAAATTGAATATTTGTAACTTAAAAAAAGAATCTGTGACCTTAATTTTTTTGGTCTGTGACCTCGAAATAATCTGTGACTTATAAAATTTTAAATCTGTAATCTCGAAATAATCTGCGATGTACAAAAATTTTTACCTGTGACCTCGAAATAACCCGTGACCTACAAATGTTTTGATCTGTGACCTCGAAAAAGTCGTCAGATCGGAGCAATCCCCGGAATTAAGTGATGTCGGAGTAGTCGCCGGAGCAAGGGTGGGGTGGGGTGGGGTGGGTGGGTTGATTTTATTATATTACAGTTAAATATTTAATTTAATATAATAATTCTGAAATGTAATTAATTAATTTAAGAAAAACCTGAGTTTTGTAATTTAAAACTTTGGTACCTGATTTTTAATTTGTTGAAAGTAAACTCCTGAACCATAAACTTTTCCCTTAACTTAATCAAGTTGCTTCAAGTGGTCCAGGTTGTTTTCGGGTCGAACCATCGCTAAGGTGTTGATATAACTTATCCAACATTTTTTTAACGTCATCGTCCGGATTTATTGTGTATCAAGACCCAACATGAATAAATTGAATATTGACAGTTACATTTAGAGCTTATAATATGATTTAAAACTCACAGATATCATATTCCTATTGACTTGTATTCAAGTGTTCGGAAAGTACGTTCGAATTTCATATACTCACTTGACCTGGAAGTTATATCACAATCTGAGCCATTCCAAATAGATATAAACTTCCTGTTCATTCAACTCCACTACTCTCTTTTGTCATGTTTACATTTTTCCTCATTATAAATCCAAACATTAGGCACAATTCAAGTGTTGTTGGGGAACCCACTTGATATGTTTATTTTTAACACAGAGTCTTCCATCCTACATGAATAAATATCTGTTCATAACTAGTTAAGGTATCATTAGACATGGATACATGGGATGGGGAGACGCTTATGTAAGCAGGTTCCTGAGGAAGTCTGAGGGAATCTGATCTTTTAACTATAGAAATCAATTTCAAGGGTCCAATTGAAAGAAAATTTTCTGCATCCTAGGTTGTTTCTATACTATACAATAAAGTATGTTGACCAGGTATAGATTCAATGTTATCAAAACAAGTGGCCTTCCTTTTAGCGAGTGTATTTCTAAAATTCTGACGGAATATCTAATATTTCTTGTTGAATAGCGTTCACAAAGCATGAATAACAAGTATTGGTGATGAGATCTGTGTCCTGACAAAAGGGGCGTTACTCTCTGGGAATGTGGGTGCCCTTTTTTTTTTTTTAATTCCTATAGAGAACATTTATTCACATTGGCTTTTCGATGCTTAGCATGTGGTTGTAGTTCCTCCAACTAAAGGATTTTTCTTAGAACTTTTAGCATTTTGTTTTGAATATATTTGCTGGTTTCTGAATTTTTTGAGGATTCAAAATGTGCATGACAAACAAAACTAGAGCCTAGAGGCATGGACTTTTCTTTATACATCTGTGTTTGTTATGTTCAGGATTATAGATCTGATAAGAGAGGACAATGGATACTTAACCAGAGGATGAGGAATGTGAAGAGGCAGACAATGTGTCGTGGTGACATAAACAGGCTGAATACTGAATTCCTAGCTATCTATGACTCGTTAATCCCAGCTGACGAAGAAAAGGCCAAGCAAAAGAAATTGTTGACGTTATTGGAGAAGCTTGTTATCAAAGAGTGGCCTGAGGCTCGGTTGTATCTCTATGGATCATGTGCCAACTCGTTTGACTTTTCAAAAAGTGACATTGATGTTTGCCTTGTGATGGAGGCTGCAAATTCAGACAAGTCCGAAGTCTTGTTAAAGTTGGCTGATATACTGCAGGCGGACAATCTTCAGAATGTACAGGTGAATGATGTCTACGTGAATTTGAAACTTCTTTTTTATTGTTCAGCTATAAAATTGACTTGCATATCCAACTGTTTGCATTTGGTTTATGTGGATATGTTTTCTTCCCTCTCTTTCCTTATATCTCATGTTTATGGAGGTCTGAGCCTGAATGCATGTAATTATCTTAGTTTCAATTTCATATTTTATTTACAGGCACTTACAGGTGCCAGGGTTCCCATAGTTAAGCTCATGGATCCAGTCACCGGTATTTCTGGTGACATTTGCATGAACAATGTGCTGGCTGTAGTAAATACAAAGCTACTTCGGGATTATGCACATATAGATGTGAGACTGCGTCAGTTGGCTTTCATTGTGAAACACTGGGCTAAAACACGAGGAGTCAATGAAACTTACCGAGGAACACTGTCTAGTTATGCGTGAGTTATATTGAATTTTCCACGATCTTTGCAGTCGCAACCTTATTATATTACTTTTTTTGGCTAATTAATTTAATATCTTTCCAGGTATGTGTTAATGTGCATTAATTTCTTACAGCAGCGGAGACCAGCTATTCTTCCATGCTTGCAGGTATTATTGTACTTTCACTTGAAAATCAGTGCATTTGCTGCTTATTTCTTTAACTTTAGATTTCTGATAGAGAAACTTTTCTGTGTGAACAATGAGTTCTGTTCTTACGTGTAATATTTCTGATAGAGAAACTATTAAATTGCTATCGTAACACTAGTTAGCTGATAACTCATCTTTTTCTTTGTAATAAAATAATCATGATGATGATTTAATTAACTTGGTAATTATGTTAGAGCTATCTATGCATGTTTTTGAAAATATGAAAAACTGATTTTTAGTTCCAGCCCCTGTTTGGTTTTAGCTAAAAAAGTTGATAGAAATCTAAGTCAAAGTCATGAATTAGTTTTAACCACACATTTCATGGGACCCATCACTTTTATTAACTTTTCAACCATACATTTCATCAACGTTATCAAAATATATTAAAAATCTGATTTTTAACAAATCCAAACATGGGCAGTATATAACTATTGGATTTCTTTTCAGTAAAACTTGGAACTAAACCTTCTTCTGTGTGGGGGGTTGTGTGTGTGTGTGAGATGGGAGCTAGTAAGCAAACATTGTCTTTCTTAACTCTTATAACTTTCTTGTCCCTTCTACAGGGGATGGATGTCACTTACTCTGTAACTATAGAAAATGTTGAATGTGCTTATTTCGATCAAGTGGAAAAGCTTCGTGATTTTGGATCCCGGAACAGGGAAAGTATTTCTCAGTTGGTTTGGGCTTTTTTCCACTATTGGGCCTATTGTCATGATTATACAAATGATGTTATATCTGTTCGAGCAGGAAGCACACTGAGGTAAGAAACATTTTCTTGATGAATAATAGCTCTATATTTCACTTACAGACGTAAAGATGATCTCAACTATGTGGATAATTTTGATATCAGCTATTTATATAGTTTTTGAAATTAGCATTATGTAAACAATTTAACGTATGCTATGCTGTTAGTTCAAATTTCATACGCTCATGGGTTGAATTTCTTTGATTTCTTGTCATTTCAGTTTTTGGTGAAGATAACATAAGCCCTGAGTTCTGTCACAAGTAAAAGTGCACATGATTCAATTTTTCTGCTTTGCTGTCTTTAAAACTGTTGAAACAAATTTAGTTACAGTTGAAGCAATGTCCCTCGTGTCTCGCTGCCCACCCCACCCAGAGTAAAAAGGAAAACGAAAGGAAAAGATATGAATTGATTCGAGCACAATGGCTGATCATGATCTTTTTGTATCTTTACTTGCAGCAAGAGAGCTAAAGATTGGACTAGAAGAATTGGTAATGACCGTCACTTGATTTGCATAGAAGATCCATTTGAGTTATCCCACGATCTTGGTCGAGTGGTGGACAAGTATAGCATAAGAGTCCTCAGGGAAGAGTTTGAACGAGCTGCAGAAATTTTGCAGTATGATCCGAATCCTTGTGTAAAGCTATTTGAACCCTATATCCGTACTTGATGTGGGTTTCCATTCAAGTAAAATATGTGTGTTTAAATTTATTATTGTATCTAGGTTTTTTAATTTCTGGCTTGATCAATATTGAATCGATTGTAAAGGACATTTCCTCGTATAAGCTTTGGGTACCGGGTCATTGTGCAATTTTGTTAGGCTGCGTTATGTTGCGGTTACATTAGTGTGGAGACCAGCTAGAAGTACTAGCTGTTAGTATTCTTGTGGTTTGCTAGTAAAGTAACAACTGTATTTATGCCTGACTCCATCCTAAAATAAGTATTGTAATGTATTTCTTATCTCTGTTTGGAAGTAAATCGAAATGTCGACTTGTCAGAATTCTCCTCTTCTTGATTGCTTTTGCAGAATTCTCTTTATTTTTTAAAGTGTTAGTAAAATCAATGTATAAAAAATTCTCACATCATCACAATGTCAAATTTGATGTACATCAGTACATCTAACAAGATTTATTTGAATTATGCATTAGTAGTCAGACTTATGTAGTAGGTGTCTGGGCTCATATATTTGACTTACTGTGACTGAATGCCAACTTTTTTTACTAGTACGTTAGAGTTGGACGTGAGTTTCAATTTTGCCAGCTCGACTTTCAAACTTAAATGAAGCTTTTGAAATATGAATTACTTTATCAAAGTAAAATCAAGTACTTGAACATGTTTTACATAATGATGATACTTCAGGGAAAACCGCACTTCATTTAACAATTATACATCTTTTATGTGAAATATAAACACATGGGAACCTTATAAATGAATAAACTTTGTAAATAATTTGAACAACATTTGAGAATGGAAGGTTTTTTAGGCTTAATAGCAAAAAACGTTCCTATGTTTGGCATGTAATGTGCAAAATGTTCATACGTTTCATTTTGCGTTTTCGCCCTTATTTCAACGTTTCATTGTAGAAAACGTTATTTTCACTGTTTTTTAGTGTAAAATGATCAATATATCCTTCTATATAAATAAAACAGAAAAATAAAAAGAAAAATAAATTGTAATTATATTCCCAAACTTAAGCCTTTTAATAAAGATTTTGTACTCACTTACACTTTTTAAAAAGTTTTGGAATATAATTACAATTTTTTTTTTTATTCTGAATGACCTGAAGGCAATTGTATGTTTATATTCTTCTAAATAGTTTGATGGATATTGAGTCTAAATTCTTCTAAAATAGTGTGATTAAAATCTTTTGAACTTTCTGATGGTAGTAGATATTTAAATTCTTTTAGACAGTCTACACGTAACCAAGTCTTTATGTTCTTCCAAATGGTTTAAGGACCATGTGTTCATCTTATTTCTTCTGGTATATCATGTTGGATCTTCACCTCCTTGAAGTTCAAAGCTTCATTAAACTTGGTTGGAAATGTGAGTTTTGAAATGTTGGTGTTAACAATAGATCTTAGTTTTGTCCACCTTTTGGAACTATAATTTATATCATCACTTAATTTGTTCCCACAACTCTACAATCTTGGCTCCGCCCTCCTTAGTGCTCTCTATTGTCCACCCAATAGCATTGGTGCTTGCCAACAAGTTGTACCCTATTGCCTCCAATTCGTCCATAGCCTATGTATGTATTGTACTATCGTTGTCCCAATGACACCACTTATATAATAAACCCTTCATTATTAGGTACAAAACCTCCTACTTATGATGAATGATATTCGTATTTCGGACCACGTATTGAGATGTTCAAGAGTTAGGCTAGGTTCTACGGCTAGACTAAATTTTATAGATCTAACTATTTTCGATTGAATTAAAATAAAAATCCAATTCTTAGCACCAAATAAACATAAAATAACTCGAATGATTATTTTCATAATTTTTGAAATTTTATTTTAGTCTCTTGAGAAATGAAAAATTGCAAGTTGGCCTCACCTATGCTAAAAATTACAATAATGACTAAACTAAAATACCGACTTATAAAAGATCGACATTCATCTAGAGGACCGCTGAGTACTAAATTAATCATTTTTCGTTTTTATGCATTTATTGTTGAGTTCACCATATCAATTTTGTTTAAGAACTCGGAATTTGAATATTACCCTTTAACTTTAAGTTCACACCATTTATTGATATCAAAAAATGATGTGGCACTTTTCCTATCAACTTACTAGAGATTCTAAGTAAATAAAAGAAAGTAATTATTTTTAATGAGAAATACAAGACAAAAGATAAAACCCATCTCTTGGTTGGATTTTTGAAATGAATATGGACTTGGTCTTGATTTTTTCTCAAAATCTCTGCACTTTCCTTTGTTTTTCTCCTCATCTTCTTCCCTGTGTGCCCTCGTGCCTTCAACATGGAGTGAGTGAAGGGTCTAATGAATTGTGCCAAAAAATGGCTGAAATGTGGTATTTAAAAGCCCTAAGAAGGTGCCCAATAAGAGTCCCAAAATGCCCTTGAGGTAGGTTCAGAATTACAAAACAAAGGCATAATTTTCTGAACCTTGCTACACTTACACACATTGGTACACAACTCTCTCACATGTAGGCCACATTATGAATCCCACACACATGTGAGATGGTTGTGTACCAAGTGTGCACAATCAAATTGTGTATCAAGTGTGCACAAGTAGTATTTTTGTAATTTTCTATCCCTGACAAGTCGGCGCCATCGTGTGCACGTTGCCCGGCGCTTGGGCAAGCTGCCCAAGCGTCGAGGTGGCCCACACACATCCAACCTATATTAACCTCCCAAAATTTTGCCTTCAGTCCCCTAGTAATTGCATGCTAGGTTTCTCAACTTTGATCTTTTACATTTTGATCTTTGAGTTTTGATTTTTATTTCAATCATGCCCTTCATAAATTGCATTCAAAGTCTTTTAACTTTCAACATTCTACACTCGATTCCCCAAATCCACGTTTTATATGATTTTAGTCATTTTTCCCTTCTTTTTACATTGCTCTCCTTCAAATTGAGGATTATTGCCTAGAAAGATAATTACACGATTATGAGTAGAAATTCGCTAATTTAGTCAATATTAAACTCATTTTAAGTCTCTAATAAGTGTGTCGAAACACACTTCAGAGACATTCGCAAAAATATAAAAGATTGAAGACGCTTGCTGCTATTTACTTAAAAGTCAACTATGTTTTAACATGTGAAGATAAAACTAAAATTTAACTCAACACTCGAAAACTTCATGAAAGATTTAATCGGATTAACTTGACAAAATTTTTGATTTCATTTAGGTCAATTATGCTTAGTTTTATTTCACATACTACAGCCCTACCTATGAGTGTTAACACGTGAGTGTTAACAATCGAGTGTTAATATTAGCTCGTAGCCTTTCTCGAGCAATATTAGTCCTACTTAGATGTGCAAACTAACTATCTCTATGTAAGTTTCGACACATATAAGAGCATTAAAAAATAGAAATTCAATTTAAAGATTGTATAACCTATATGAACATCGCTTGATCTTTTAACCAAGCTTACGTTCACTATTTGCCTAAGCTAGATATGTATATCACCCCCTCAGTCTCAATACAGTCCGTAAATACATTTATTAGTTATCAAGCAATTGAATTAAAAAACCACACAATAAAGGCATTAACATGAAGTACGTGAATTGAATAAACACAAATGACCTAAATTGAATCGTTTATCCTAACACGTAGAAATTTTACCTCTCAGGAAAAGAATAAAGAAGAGAATAAAGACATCGCCTAGTTTGGATTACAATAAGAATAATTCTTCTTGTACATTAGAGGTGCCATAATGATGTCCATAATAGACACATTGCACCCCACCATTGAAGAGTATGGCACCCCTAATGTACTTGTAACACTTCCCTTACAATAATAGGGGAAAAAGAGCTAAACTATTTTTGATTTTTGTCAATGAACACATGATATCCCTAATGTACTTGTAGCACTTTCCTTATAATAATAGGGAAAAAAGAGCTAAACTATTTTTGATTTTTGTCATTCGAATCTCAGCAATAGATATTCTGTCACGGTTAGGATGGACCTCTTTCACCTTCCAATACATATAAGAGCATTAAAAAATAGAAATTCAATTTAAAGATTGTATAACCTATATGAACATCGCTTGATCTTTTAACCAAGCTTACGTTCACTATTTGCCTAAGCTAGATATGTATATCACCCATCAGTCTCAATACAGTCCGTAAATACATTTATTAGTTATCAAGCAATTGAATTAAAAAAGCACACAATAAAGGCATTAACATGAAGTGCATGAATTGAATAAACACAAATGATCTACATTGAATCGTTTATCCTAACACGTAGAAATTTTACTACTCAAAAAAGGAATAAAGAAGATAATAAAGACATCGCCTAGTTTAGATTATAATAAGGATAATTTTTCTTGTACATTAGGAGTGTCATAATGGTGTCCATAATGGACACATGACACTCCATCATTGGAAACACTCTCCAATGATGGGGTGTCATGTGTCCATTATGGACATCATTATGACATTCCTAATGTACTTGTAACACTTTCGTTACAATAATAGAGGAAAAAGAGCTGAACTATTTTTGATTTTTGTCAAATGGACACATGACATCCCTAATGTACTTTTAGCACATCCCTTGCAAATAACGGGAAAAAGAGCAAAAATATTTTTGATTTTTGTCATACGAATCTCAGCAATGGATATTCATTCATGATTAGGATGGACCTCTTTCACCTTCCAACTATACAAATCTGAGAAAGATCTTTGATTTTATGATTGATTGACAACTATGATTTTTATTATTATTATTATTATTTGAAAAGCTTGTCCTCTCAATGGTGAAAATCTATGCCTATGTTTGGTATCCATTTTTTTTTTCATTCTCATTCTTCTACTAATTTTTAAGGTGTGTAAGTAGTTATTTTATTATAAAAGGTAGTGTAGTTATTGAAAAGGAAGTAAAAGTTGGTGTTTTTAGGTTTGATTTGACACAAAGAATGCATTTTTTTCTAGAATAATGGTTACCAAACGGTGCCTATATTTATAATTCAAATATTAGGTCAAAGCTCGTGCACCAATGTCATTCAATGTAGAAGTTGATTTTAATTAGGAAAGAAACTATTTTCTATCTTGCACAGCCATGTGATCAGATGACTAGACCTTCGAACGTGCTGGTAATAAATTCTCCACTTCTGGTTGTGTAGGTCTAGGGATGGCAAAATGACTTGTTTGTTCGAGTTGTCTGAGCTCGACTCGAAAAAGCTCGAGGCGAACGCAACTCGTAGCTTGAAATCACCGAGCCTCATTTTGGGGCAAAGGCTCGAGTCCGAGGCCAGCCCGAGTGGCTTGACGAGCCAACTCAGCCAAGTATTAAAAAAAAGTAAAAAAATAATAATAATAATATAGTTGCTTGCGTTGCCAACGTTTTGCAGGGAGCTGTCACAGTTGAATTTTTAAAAAATGGGAAAAAAATCGGGTCGACTCAACTCGGCTCGTAAAGAGCTCGGGTCAACTTAAAATTTTTGGTCGAACAAAAGCTTGGCTCGGCTCGAGCAAAAAAAGGATCGATATATTTTTAGGGCTCGAAGCTTAAACCCGAGCACGCTCGGTTTGGCTCGTTAACACCCCTACGTAGGTCAAGCCTTGCTATTTCAATGTTTGATACAATTTCTTCCTTTTCAAGTTGATCACTGAGAGTATTCTTTGGTTCAGCTCAAGTCCTTTTTTATTTGCATAGAGGTTCTTCATCTTTCAATTCTTTACACTTCAGTCTCCATATTTTATAATTTGTTCATGTTAAGTCCTTATAAGTAAATTCTTTATCAGTTATTCATCCACCATCCAATATCGAATTTTTCCCAAAACAATTAATATACAACCAAAATTAAGTATAAAAAATGGGGTGGGTCATATAGAGGCTAAATCATTTCATATATTTGGTCTTTCCAAAATTTCTCTAACTATCGGTACAGATGCATATATTTTTGGACAAAAGGAGAGGTTATAATACTTCATCTATAAGGAAACTAGGATAATTGCATTGTGGGCCTCAATGTTTAAGGGTAGCCCCTAATATTTTTTTTATTTTTATTTTTTTTCACATTTATACTTCACCTTCAATTTTTAGATCAATTTCACCGTTTTGGACGGTCTGCATCCAAATGGACATTTTAGCTAGAAGACAACGTCACACCACAAGTTCAACTAAGCAAGTCAGCTTGAAAAGAAAGAAAAGAAACAAGAAAAGATTGAAGGCCAAACTAAAAAATCACCCAAACGTCAATACTGTAATCTTCCTAAACGGGGAAAATTTCATAATTAAAAGGATTACAATATACAATTTCAAAATTAAGAAATCAATTTTAAAACTTAAAAAATCAGATGATAATTAAATTTTATTAATTAAGTAAATAACTAAAAAAATTTATTAATTAGATATATTAAAGTCACATTTCTTTGTCAAAAATAAAAAATATTATAGGTCACAATTTATTTATCGATACAAAATCATCAATTTTATATGTCACAATTTACTTATCGATCAAAGATTAAAAAAAAAAAAATTATAGGTCAGATTTTATTATTGGTCACAAATCATAAATTTTATAAATCACAACTTATTTTACAGTTACAAAGTATCAAATTAATTTGTCACCAGTTATTTCCCGATTTCAACTTAATAAATTTTGAGTCATGATCACATTCTTTAGGTCATGTATTGTTTATTGGTCACCAATTAAACAATTCATTTGTTACAATAAATCAAATAATTGATTACAAACACACCCACCGAACGCCATTTCACCCACAACCACCGTGCCACTGCCACGACCACCATCGTCGACACCACCTCGCCAGCACCGCCAACATCACCACTATCTCACCACCTCAGCCAACATCACAACTACTACCCAAACACCACAAAAAAATCAGATCAAAATTATCACAATCTCTTCTTCGACATCTAGGCATCGTGCTGCAACAGCAACGTCTCGACATTATCACAGTCGCTACTTTCAAGAGCGGCAATTGAAGATTTACAGCGACATCTTAGCATCTTGCAGTTGGGCATCCCAACATCGAGCGACTAAGCATCACGCATCTGCAACGTCTTTATCACAGTGGCGACTCTCAGAGCGATGCTGCTACTATGGCTTTGTAAGCGCTGAGCCAGCAGGGTCATGAGCGGTTTTGACCGCCGCTCCGACGGTGCCTTCGGTGTGGGGTGTGGTAAAGAGATATAAAGAGCGAATGAAAAGATATAGAGACAAAAAAAGAGAAGTGAAAGTAATTAGGGTTTGAGATGAAATTTGGTGGGATGGATGGAGGTAGGTAGGTAGGGAGGGTGGGTGTGTATATAGATTAATTTCATTTTATAAAATTATTATTAATATTGAATTATCATCTGATTTTTGTATAAATAAATTTTAAATTTGATTTCTGAAATGTTAATTTAAAAAATCTGGTTCTATGTAATTTCGACAAAAAATTTGGATAGAATTCACTACCATGTTTGGCTAAGTTAAAAAATAAGTAAGAATTTGAGTAACTTTTATTGACAAACACCATAGATTACTTTTTTTTTCTCACTTTTAAGTAAACATATTACTTGTTTTGAAAATAACTCTTACTTTTCACTCAAATAAAACCTATTTATTTGTTCATAAACTCTTTTAAGCCTACCCAAACACGCTCTAACAATATTAATGTTTTATTTTCTAAAAGCAACTCCAAAGGCACATATTACTGAATAAATTTTTCAAACCATAACCTGTAACATGAGAGACAGCCACTCAAATAATGAATAAGAATATTTCCTTTTTTTTTTCCCAGATTTTTCTCGCTCTAGTTGTAGTATTTTTGGACGTGTGCTTAATTTCAGGAAAATTTTATTGCTATTTATTCGGGAGAGACAGCCAGAATATTTTCCTCTACAGTCAAATTATCACAAAAATTTCAATATTTTCGTGTTTCTTTGTCTTGATCACAACATTATCATTTCTGTCAATTTTTCTTTGTCATTACATAGTGGTATCATGGCTGAGGACGAAATCTCAGAAGTTGAACAGCTCCCTGAGATTCTAGTCAGGGGCGGAGGCGGGGTAAGACCCATTTATTAGATAAAGAAACACAAAATGAATGAGAGAGAGAATGAAATGGTAAACATGAATATAAGGAACTTGTGCCATTAATAATGGAGATATTGTCTCCATTTGCAATGTAATCGATCACTACATTTCCTTCTCTAAATATGTGTAATATCTTGTATAGCAACTCAAAAAACCTTTGCTCTCCTCAAATGTGATACAAACCACTTGATTGAACGAATGTTCATTTTTGTAATTGTAAAATAGAACAAATATTGCGAATGGGGGAGATCTTTGAGATCACGAATAGCACATCAAATGTACCATCTACTTAATTATGAACTTATCAAAGTATGAGAATTTGAAAGGAACGCGTGTAATAAGGTATGGTTTTGGAAGCGCTGCCCCGAACCCCTATAGGCCCCCATACCTTCAACTATGGGACCCCCTACTTCGACGAGCTGGCTCCGCCCCTGATTCTAGTCCTCGGACTACTTGCGGTATTCGAAACCTACGAGAAAGAGTTTCGTTCAAAATTCAGAACTATCGCACCATGGGAGTCGACACTTCCGCTGTCCGAATTTCTTTTGGCCCATGCAATGACACAAGTGCCGCTTTGTGCTCTGGTTACTTCTCACTGTCCACTGCTGTCCTCCACCACCTCCCTTCCCTCCTCCTCCTCGTCACTACCAGCGTCGACCTCGGCCACTTTGATCTCATTGAGTGCAGTCGTCAACAAATTTCTCCGTTGGTGTTGCTGATCTTACTGTGGGGCTGATCTTTGATGTGATGCGGAAAATTAGTGCTGCAAATCGCTTTGTGAAAGACGGGCTCTGGCCTAAAGCAGGAGATTATCCATTTGGCTCCAAGGTAAATTATATATATATAGTTTTATGAGGATATATGTATATATATATCCTCATAAAGTCAGTTTGTATACTTGGAAATTTAACTTAATGCATTAATGAACACATCAAATATTTGTTTGGTAAGTTAAGCAAAACCATTAATTTTTTGTCAAGCAGCATGAATATGTAAGGAGCTGCAAGAATTTACAACACTCTTTAACATAAATTAGGGGGTTCAAGATTCTTACTTGAAAGAAGAATTCCAAGATCTTTTTGTATGGTTGAATCACATTACTTTCCAAGCATCAAATTATATATTTTCTTGCACTCTAATGGTTCCATTGAGATCACAATGGAATGTGATTATTATTTACGGTCTAAGTACCTAATTTTGTGAGTTTCCATACCAAATATATGATTCTAGGCACTTTTTTAAAATTTTTAAGTGATTTTGTATTCGAATTTCACTTCTATTCTTGCCATCTTTTCTCTCTCCCAAATTAGTGTATAAAGTGATGGGAGTTATGAAAGTTTTTATGAAACGGATCGCAAGATAATGGCAATAGTAAAATAAAGAAGAAGAAAACAAGAACGCATGAATTTACATGGAAATCCAGCTCGGGAAAAAAACCACGGGCAAAGGAGAACAATCCACTATAATCAATAACTTTGTGTTTACTATATCAAGATTTCAATAATCTCAATTAAAATCTAAACTCTCAATCTCTCAATATATTGTTGAAGATGTAAAGAATAATATATGAATTGTTGTATTATGGATATACAATTTGGCTATATATAAACTTCTTAATTAAGTCCAAAATGGAGAAGGAATCCAAAATATTCCTTTAGCCATTCAAGAGTCCTCCTTCAAGCCAAAATCCTAATTATTATTGAAATTTGATCTTCAACTATATTGGAATTCTACAAACCCAATTACCGTAGACTTCCTCCAATCAATCAAATATCAAATCACATGGAATTTGGATCACACCACAACAAATCTCTACCTTGAGCCAAATTCTGCAACAATAAATTAAAATATATCTTCAAAACACAATTTCTCCTCTTCCAACAAGTCCCAATGGACTAAATCAATGACAAACACCAATTAAGTTCAAGTAATGCTCAAACTTAGAAATGGGAAGTGGTTTTGTCATCATATCAGCAGGATAATCCTTGGTATTAAACTTGCTTACTACAATATCACCACGAGCAATTACATCACGCACAAAATGATATCTCACATCAATGTGCTTAATCCTTTCGTGAAACATCTGATCTTTAATCAAGAAAATTGTACTCTGACTATCACAAAATACGGCAAATATCTGCGAGTCTTCATTGATTTCACCAATCAATCATCTCAGCCACATAGCCTCCTTACATGCCTTTGTAATGGGCATGTATTCTGCTTTTGTTGTAGATAAAGCCATTGTATTTTGCAAAATAGCTTTCCAACTGGTAGCATAGCCTCCAAGAGTAAACATATACCATGTAAGCGATCTCCTCTTATCAAGATCCCCTACATAATCTGAACCCACATAAACGATGACTCCATCTGAATTTCTACCAAAATGCAAACAAGCATTTGAAGAGCCCCTTAAGTATCTGAAGATCCACTGCACTGCTTTCCAATGTTCATTGCTAAGATTATCCATGTATGTGGCACCCTACGCCCCCCTTAGCCCTGCCCCTTCGTGCCAAATCAGGTCTTGTACAAATTATAGTATATATAAGCGAACCAACTGCACTAGAGTAAGGAACTTGAGACATATAATCAATGTCTTCATTTGACTGTGGACGCAAGTTAGATGATAATTTGAAGTTGGCAGCCAACAGAGTACTGAGAGCCTTAACTTTCACCATATTGAATCTTTCAATCACCTTTTCAATATACACTTTCTGACTCAAATACAACCTGCTAGTATTTCTATCTCTCAAGATATCCATTCCAAGAATCTTCTTCCCTGCACCCAAATCTTTCATGTCAAACTCTTTGCTGAGTTGTAATTTTATTTTTCTGACCTCTGCTTTATCATTAGCTGCTATGAGCATATAATTAACATATAATAACAAATATGTAGTTGATCCACCACTTTCCTTTCTGAAGTACGCACAACTATCATAATTACATCTATCAAAACCATGAGTAGTCATGAATGAATCAAACCTCTTATACTACTGCCTCGGTGACTGCTTTAATCCATACAAGGATTTCTTCAACAAGCACACATAGTTTTCCTTCTCTGAAGCTGTGAACCTCTCTGGTTGTTGTATATAGTTCTCTATGTAAGAATTGTGTCTTGACATCCATTTGCTCAAACTCCAAATCATTCTTAGCCACCACTCCAAGTAAAGCCCGAATAGAACTATGCTTCACAATTGGTGAGAACACATCTGTAAAATCAATACTCGGAATCTAACCATAGCCTTTTGCCACCAATCTAGGTTTGTATCTAGCATCTTCAATCCCTGACGTGCCTTCCTTTCTTTTGAACACCCATTTACAACGAATCACTCTTTTTCCTTTAGGTAATTTCACTAAGTCCCAAGTGTTATTTTTGCTCAATGACTCCATCTCCTCCTACATAGCAATCATCCATTTGCTACAATCACTACAACTGATTGCCTCTTAATATGTAGCAGGCTGCTCGGTGGAATCAATGTCTTCATCCACACTCAATGCATAAGCTACCAAATTTGTTTTCTCATACTTCTGTAGAGGTCTAATCTATCTGTGAGGTCTATCATTAGCAATAGAATACCGTGGTGCTGGTGATGTAGGCAAAAGTAGGCAGGATATTACTATCTGTCAATCCTGAATTGGACTCATCTGTAGTAGACTGTTCTACAACCTCTGATTGTTTCTCTGAACCAATTTCTAACTCCATCCGAGTTGAATGGTTTTGCTCCTCAACTTTATCAAAATTCCCAAGAGGTGAACTACGAACCATAGCAAGTTCATCAAATACTACATTCCTACTAACAACCACATTTTTAGTCTCGGGACACCACAACTTATACCCTTTCATACCTGATTTATATCGAAGAAAAATGAATTTTCTAGACCTAGGCTCCAACTTCCTATTATCCACATGAGCATAAGCCGGACACCCAAAAATTTTTAAATCAGAATAGCAATGAGGTTTACCAGACCATACCTTTTCTAGTCTCTTTTTATCAATGGCAACTGAGGGTGAGTGATTAACCAAAAAATAAGTTGTAGTAGCAGTTTCAGCCCAAAAAGACTTAGGCAACCCAGAATTTGAAAGCATACAACGAACATTTTTCATCAAGGTCTTGTTCATCCGTTCTGCCACACCTTTTTGTTGAGGAGTTCCGGCACTGTTAAGTGTCTCAAAATGCCTTCAACCCTGCAGAAGCTATTGAATTCATCTGACCAAAACTCCAACCCATTATCAGAACGTAGACATTTACTTGCTTTTCGGTCTGCTTCTCTACCAATGTTTTCCATTCCTTGAAAGTCTCAAACACATCACTATTTTGCTTCAAGAAAAATACCCAAATTTTCCTGGAGAAGTCATCAATTACTGTCAACAAGTAATAATAGCTACCTTTAGATGGTAACCTCGCTGGTCCCCAAAGATATGAATGGATATATTCAAGTGTTCCCTTCTGTTGTGTCTTCCTTTAGTGAATCTGACTCTCTTCTATTTCCCAAAGACACAATGCTCATAAAATTCAATTTTCCCGGTCTTCTGCCCATCAAGAAGTCCCCTTTTACTCAGCTCCGCCATCCCATTCCCATTCATATGCCCGAGCCTCATATGCCAAAGTTTTGTAACTTCATCATTCGTCAAAGAAGAAGTAAAAACTACTGCATTCCCAATCACTGTGGAACCGTGGAAAATGTACATTTGTATAGAGTTTTTATGCCCATTTATGACAACAAGAGCTCCCTTGCTCACCTTCAAAACTCTACCTTCACCGATGTATCTGTAGTCCTTTGAGTCAAGTGTACTCAAAGATATGAGATTTCGCTTCAGTTCTGAGACATGTCTTACATCTGTAAGTGTTCTGACAACTTCATCGAACATCCTGATTCTAACTGTACCAACTCCAGCAATCTTGAAAAGCGCGTTATTTCCCATAATCACAGCACCTCTCAAAACTTCTTAATATGTAGAAAACCAGTCCCTATTAGGACACATATGAAAAGTACAAGCCGAGTCAAGAACACGTTCATCACTAGATTTGGTATCTTTGTCAGAAATCATAAGAAGCTCTCTATCACTTTGCTCATCCTCCACAACATCAGCCTCCATTGTATTAACATGTTGCTTCTCTTTCTCCGTAGCACCAGCAGTTTTATTTCTATTTTTCAAGACAAAGCAATTAGCTATAGTATGTCTTCTCAGTATGTCTAGACTTCGATCTATCCCTCATATTTTTGTCAAGATTCCTATCTTGATTCCTCCCATGCACAACCAAGCCTTCAGTATGATTTCCAGATCCTCTAGCAAGATACCTCATCTTCTCCTTAGATAATAAAGCATCATAGACCTCTTCCACGGTAATAGTATCCCGACTATAGAAAATAGTATCCCTAAAAGTCACATATGATGGTGGCAGTGAACACAACAACATCAAAGCCAAATCTTCCTCATCATACTTAACCTCCAATGTCTCCAAATCAGCCACAGTTTCTTTGAAGATAGTTAAGTGATCATCCAATGACATATCTTCAGACATCCGGTGAGAATACAAGCGATGTTTCAAGTGTAGCTTACTGGTTAAGCTCTTTGTCATGCAAAGTTGCTCCAACTTCAACCACAATGCAGCTGCACTCTTCTCCTTAAGAATATCTTGAAGAATTTGATTTGAGAGATGTAGATGAATTTGAGATTGGGCTTTCCGATCCCTACATCATTTTTCATCCTACATCCAGGCAGCAGGCATCCGATTAAAGCCAAACAAGGCTTCCTCCAAATCCATCTGCACCAACACCACTCACATCTTCACTTGCCATAATGTGAATCTTGTGTTTCTATCCAACAACGAAATGTCATACTTCATTGTTGCCATACGGAACAATCAACATTGCACTTTGATACCACTTGTTATGAAAACGGATCACAAGATAATGGAAATAATGAAATAAAGAAGAAGAAAACAAGAATACAACAATTTACGTGGAAACCCAATTTGGGAAAAAACCATGAGCAGACGAGAACAATCCATTATAATCAATAATTTTGTGTTTACAATATCAAGATTTCAATAATCTCAATTGAAATCTAAACTCTTAATATGTTGTTAAAAATGTAAAGAATAATATATGAATTGTTGTATTATGGAGATATAATGTGGTTATATATAAAATCTCTTATTTGAGTCTAAGATGGAGAAGGAATCTAAAATATGCTTTTAGCCATCCAAGAGTCCTCTTTCAAGCCATACTCCTAATTATTATTAAAATTTGATCTTCAATCATATTAGAACTTTATAAACCCAGATACCTTAGACTTCCTCCAATCAACCAAATACCAAATTACATGAAATTTGAATCACACCACAACAAAAGTTGATGTAGGTTGAGGGATTCAAACTATTTTCTCCAATCCGTTTCAATATCTTGCGAGTTAGGTCACCCGACATGGACGACGATGACCCCGTATCTTCCAATATGAACTTTATTCTTCCTTTAACTTTTTAAAAAGTTTTAGTGAACTACTATTTTTTAGTAAAATGGTGAATGAAATGTTAATATTTTTGTACAATTAAGCATGGTACAATTTGTTTTAAAAAATACATGTACTAATTATTCTTGATTATATTCTGAGTATAATATATTCTTGATTATGGAGCCATCATTTGTCAAGTATAGCTACCGAGTAGAACTGTAACCATTCAACTTTTATTACAATTTATTGCTGGTACATAGTCTATGACTAATGATATCAGTTGGGTGGCAAGAAAGTTGGGATCGTGGGATTAGGCAGCATTGGCTTAGAAGTCTCGGGGAGGCTAGAGGCATTCGGCTGTATAAAATCGTAACACTCAAGGGAGAAGAAGTCGTTTGTTCCTTACACATTCTTCATTGACATATTGGATATTTTCAACATATATGGGGCTACACGTTGTATATTAAAATGTGTGGTGCTATTATTTAAATAAAATTAGTCAATTAAAGTGATCCACTAAAAATGAATTTTGACTAATGGGTATTAGTCATGGAATTATAGTGTAGAGACCAGATTGTTGTTTTAAATTGATGATGGACCAATTTGAAGTAACTGGAAGATCTATTCAGTTACTACTATTATTTTGTATTGTTATGGTCCCCATTTGTTTGTGTTTTTGAGGTTTTCTACATCCCCCTTAATAGAGAGCAAAAATTGAAGCGAAGATCACCAATCAATTGAAAGATCCTAACCCATCCAGAAAAAGAATCAAATTACTATGGATATAGGTATATTTATGTTTTCGCTATTTTGTTATTTTCTCTAGTTTCAACATGGAGTTTTATTTAGGGTTTATATGTGAAAATGATTTGATTAAAACATATGAATCTATAATCCCTTTAATGTTTTCTATCAAGACATCTGCGAACTAGTTGCCATATCCGATGTCCTTGTCATCTGTTGCGCTTTAACGGAGCAAACTCGTCATCTAATCAACCGTGAGGTTCTTTTGGCACTCGGAAAGAGAGGATTTATCGTGAATGTAGCACATGGAGCTATAATCGATAAGAAGCAATTGGTGCTTTGTTTACAACAAGGACTGATAGCTGGTGCTGGATTGGATGTGTTTGAAAATGAACCCCATGTTCCTGAAGCACTTTTCTCACTACATAATGTAGTGTTGTCGCCTCATTGTGCGGCCTTCACAGAAGAATCCTTTCGGGATTCATATGAAATTGCGTCTGGTAATTTGGAGGCATTCTTCTTGAATAAGCCATTGCTTTCTCCGGTTCTAAGCAAGTAGTCATTGCCTCTCTATGTGATATGATTCTATATTTTATTGTTCCTTTTGAATTACATTAAGTGCATGTTTGACACACATTTATCTAAAAAACTGAAGAGGCATGAAGGAGGCTGAGTTCCTTTTACTTCTTTGTTTAGTAACTTGATGTTATATTAATATTTATATTATGCTAAATATAATCGTACCACAGTTTTTAATAACCAGACTATATTTTTATTGTATGAAAATTTTATAACCTTTATACATTATCACATTTATGTTTCAAAAAAAATTTTCATCGCATTCTTATCCTAAATTTAACATAAATTGTTTATGATTAAGATTTTCTGCCAAAATTTTCTTTAAAATAGAATAAATAGACTCCTTTACTCATATTTTTAATTAAGGGAAACAAATAATAATGAAAAAATATGATTAAATATTTTACGCTCATTTTAAAGTACATTAACAATATTTTTAGACGAAAACCATGATTAAGGACAAGATTTTCCGATCAATAAAATGTTAAATAAAGAATGTTATGAAGAAAAAAGTTAAGGATATAAGTATAATGATAAATAAAGGTTAATAATCTTTAATGTAATTAAAATGTGACTGATTATAAAAAAATATTGTGAAAGGGTAAAACAGTCTTCAATTGATTTCACTGTATCATTTAAGAGTCAATTTTGAATTTCCCAAGTATGAGTTAGATTTCCTCAACTTTATGTATAGTTTATGGTGACAATGGTATTTCTAAGACTTTTTATTTTTAAAATCATTTTATGTATTATAGAGAGTATTTTAAAATTTAGAGAGCTTAAATTTTTATACATTCCAACAAACCGTCTATTTTGAATCTTCATTTTTCTTTTCTTAAGAAATATTTACTGATATCTCTTCATATTTTATTTAACATAAATTTTTATTTGTCACTCGACTAATCAATTTAAATGTGGTTTGAATAGTTTAAAAACGAAAGTATTGACATATGTGATTTATTAAATGTAATTTTTGTACATTAAAAACAGAGAGTAGATTTAATTCTCTAAATTTGGAGAGTAAAACTCACTCTCTATTTTAAAAAGTTAAAATAAATAGTCTCTTGGAGCTCATTTTTAAGTATTCTCTCTCTAAAATAAACATAATTTTGCATTTAGAAAGTCTTTTGGAGACACTCTAATGCTGAAGAGCAAATAAAATACCTCTAATGTTTAAATATTAGTTCGATTTTATAATATCTATGTATAGCATACCTCTAGTACATTATTTGCTATTAATAAATAAGCAAATTTTAAAAAATCGAACCAAACCAACTAGTTAAAGTGGCAAAACTGAGAACCAATCACAATATTGGTTAAAATTGGAGTATATTAGTACATGGGGAAAGCAAATAATCTCTAAAAGTCCATAAAAAGTTAACAGCCTAGCTTTCATTCATATGTTGAAGCTATTCACTTATGTTCAGTTACATTCATCTCTAGAATCTAGATTAATTTCTAAGGTGGAACTTTTACTGGATAAGCATATTTTCGTTGATGAATTGTTGTACTTCTTCGCGTATACACTTCAATAAGTCTACATTTTTATTTTTAACCTGCAATTACTCGAGCAATAATGTTATATAATGCATCTTGTTCCTGAGTTCAACCATAGCCCACACAACTTTAACCATGGTGATGGAAAATCACATTTGGGATTTCGTTTAATTTCAAGAGTTTGCATGTCTTCATTCTTCTCAAAGAGCCATCAACACAGGCTACGCTATCATAGAAACATCACGTATATATGGAGAAAATATTTAATATCGGAAAGCTATTAAGAATTATGCATGTGTCTACGCATCTTTTAATATATATCTATTTTAAGTGGGATCTAAATGATATGACACTTGCCATTGATTACATGTGTTTATATACTACACGATAATAAAAAATTTGTTTAGTCTGACATTTGACATAAAGCGTAGCCCAAAACATAGTCCATTTTTTTTATTTGAATTATTCATATCATTCTACATATTTGAATAGCTCTCAATCGTATATGCTGGAAGTTCTGGACGACAAACTAATATGTAACAACTCTTTTTGCTCACTAGCCTTTCAATTTAACATACAAAATGTCATAAATATTACTTCAATAAAGACTACGTGAAGATACTCTTGCATTTAAATCAATGTGTTTTCATTCTTATAAAACCTACCCTACCCTACCCTAACCTGACCTGAACAAAATAAATGAAAAAATTAAGAACCGGTCAGTTAATTGCCTCTATTCTTGTTGGGAAAAAAATCACATATACCATTAAAGGAAAACATTTCACATTATGCTATAAAATGGTTTATATACTAATTAATCGTGTTAACATGATTTAAACGGTACAACTATCATACATAATCTCCTAGAAAGTATACAGAATAAAGACATTTGTGGGGCATTATGCTCCAATTATGAAATTCCATCTGATGTTTTAGGATTTGGATGTGACCCGAATTCCTTGTCGGAGTAATTGAAAAATTCTAATTGAAATGCAGGTCAAGAAGAATTCAATTTGGAATGTTATTGGAGTCGTATGTCCAGTTGAAGTTCTATTTTGAAAGCCCATTGAGAGTTGAAATTTGTTTTGGATTCGATTTTTTGGTATCATATTTCATCAACAACTCTATTAAGAGGGTTTGTATATCCCATACATGTTCCCTATAAATATTAGGTTCTTCTATATAATTTTATAGTGGGAGAAAAGAAATTACTCAAATTTTAGGATCAATTGTATTTTTTTTTTATTATTGGTACAATAAAATCTCCCAATTCTTTGCCATATTTTCTTATCTTCTTTTATTCTTTTGTTTGTGATCAAATACTTCATTATTGTGTCATATTGCTAGGTTCATATTTTGTATTGGCGATTCTGCGAACAAATTGACCAACTTGAACATTTATAAAAGTTTAGGGACCAAATTGTAAAGTTTCATAATTGGTAGGTTAGCTTAGGGTTTGGGGTGTTATGTTTGGAACAAGAAGGATTTAAGCCGGATTTTCGCTAGAGTGACTGAAACAGAAACTACCTCACTCGACTTTCGCCCCACTATCGCTCGAGCGACATACCTTTCGCTCGAACGAAGAAGCCACCTCGCTCGAGTCACATATTATTCTGGGAAACTTAATTTTATATTTTCGAGATTTTTACTTGACTCATACAACCTATTTTGTCCAACCTATATATTGAGACGCCATATTTTCTATGGAGGTGATTGAACATCATAATATTCAAGGAGAATATATGCTTAACTAGAATCAAAGTTCAATCATTCCATTGTTCATGTGTCAATCATTGTGAAAATATTAAAGCTATCAAATCAAACACTGGATTGCATTCTTAGCTTGGGTCTGCTGCAAGATTGTGTCGTCAACTGTGCTACGTTAAAAGATCAAGGAAGAGTTTGAAGAATGAGTAGTTCTTGTGGAAGATCTACAGGAGATAAACTGCGTAAAAAGTCAGGATTGGAGTTCGTGTGCTCATTCCAGGAGGACTACTTTACAAAGAAGAGCTAGAATTGGTGTTGGTGTGCACATTGCAGGAGAGTTGCTTCGTACTTCAGACAGGAGATTAGAAAGTTTGTGTTGTTAACTTTGCTAATAGTCTGTAAGTTTTATTGACAGTTTATAGTGGATCTTTGACTGGCAAAGTGCTCGGAGATTTTCCCACATTAGGTTTCTTCGTGAACAATTCTGGTGTTGTTTATTATTTTATTTACTGCTCTGACATTACTGCGGTATTTCAAGATAGGACAATTGAATTGTTTGACTAATCACCTACACATAATTAACTTGTAACTTGGTGCATGTTAATTAAGTATTAATTCTGCAATTACACCTAATCACCCCCTTTAGGTGTAGTAGGGTCGAATCTCGTGTTTCTCAATTGGAATCAGAGCTTAATTTCGATTCCTAACCCTTATTTGATTGTCTAGATGAGTAGTTCTTTATGGACTAAAACTAACTTGGATGAGT